TTTTCAAGCTAAATTCAAGGTGGCCTGAGACCACGGTTTGCTGCCCTGAAACACTCTGTTCAGGCCACCTTGAAAATAAAGGTGTAGTTGGCACCTTGCTTGCAGCTACCAGGTATAGTACTTCAAGTTCCCTTTCCGTCAACCGCTCGATAGCCTCTACACACGCGCAGCAATCCACAGCTTTGAAGTCTCATTCGTGCTTTGAACTTGTGTGGGTGTGTAAGAGGTTTGGCAACATAGTATTTGTACGGACCCAGGCTAGCTTCAGAGCAACATGCAAACGACTATAGGATTAAAACTAAACTAAATAAGCCACCTGCCTGACCTTAGTTTTGGGCACGTTCAAGGGCTGGATTCAATCTTGTGGGCATGCTTCTGCTTGCACCAGAGTGGTCGACTGTGGACACCTGAAGGGGACTCAGGTGAGGATTTGGAAGGTCAGTCAAGGGTCCATATGCAATATGTTTCCATAATCCAACCCTTAGGGTTTATAGGCGGTATGTCTAGGTGCAAACTCCCCGAAATAAGCATAGAAGTGGATGGCATAGCCCCAACAGGTGGTTTTCCACTTCTATGATTAGTTCAATCGATGTACACAGTGTACCCCTTGGACTTTTTGGTATCTCCATTGCTCACTGGCCATTTCCGAAGGTCTATCACACTTGTGGGTGCAATGATGAACCGGTGATGTCAATTATCGAGCACCCAGCAATAGTTGGTGAAAATCAGACCATAGGTAGGGTCATGCTCAACCTTAGTGGATCAGATCCAGTGTCAACCTGTAAAGCAAGACCCGTTCATGTGGCCATGCTGCACTTCCCACAGTGAGACCTCCCATTCCATGTCCAGACACCAAATGATGTCAATGTGGATAGATTTGGCTACGGCCTAAAACATCGGATTCCATCCAAACCCCCCCTGTGCAGAGGAAATTTACGGGCAAAATGACACCGAATCCCTCAATTGCCAGGAAGCGCAGGTTTTTGTTTTGACATGGTTACCTCTGTGTGGGCAGAACAAGACATGAAGCAGATTTGACACGCGGCCGCAAGCAGCTGCGCGAACTCATTTGCTTGCTTCGACGCGCAGTTGTCGAGAAAGGGAAGCGCTGGCTTTCGTTTTGCAGCTTCTCAGGCTTGTTCCGTCATTCCCACCAAATCGGTTCGATCGACACTTGGAATTTGGGACGACGTTCAAGTCCTCGCATCGTCCTTGCATCTATACTGCAGGTCGACCTGTCAAGTCCACATCGAACGTCACAGACGGGCATCGCCTACGAACGTAGAAGCTAGGAATGTAGCTCCTGGCATTACGTAGCTTTCGGTTCAGCTCTTCCATTTCTCTCCACCCACCGCGGACTGCGACCGTTGCACCCACCGAGTCCCTCTTGGCCTTGGACACCGAGCGTTTCGCCATAGGCGAGGACGCCTCCCGGCCACCGGAAGCCGCTTCCGAGCTTCGACTGCTCGGAGACGGTGGGTTCGGATGTCTGGACTGATTTTATGGGTTCTGGGGGGGTCTTCTGGCCATCTGGAGATTGCTGGGCTTGGGGCATATATAAAGAAGCCATCCGCTCAAACATGCCAATCCTGGTGCTTCTTGGTAGTTGATCGAAGATCAATTTAGGAAGCATCTCACCCCCCAAAACTGAAGCTAAAGATTTTTCAACATTACAAGGAACTTATCAGATTTAACCATGGCAATCACAAATGGTATGAAAACATGGTCCATCTCAGTGGTCCTTTCCGATCACTTGGCATCCACCGGTCCACCGGTCGGACGTCGCAGGCGACGACGATGGCGGCCTGCGCATCTTCGAGGGCCGGGCGCCGAAGGCGGCCGTGAGCCGGGGATGCCCAGGGCCGTGTGGAGTGAGGTTGGTGTGGTGGAGTGGTCCGCGGGTTCCGCGAGCGGCACGACGCGGAGGGCCGCGGAGGGCAGCGTTTTTTGGATAGAATTGAAATCATCAGAGACGTCGGGTTCAGTTGTCAGTTTGGGTCTTGTAATAGAAGTATAGTTTCCACACACCGATTTTCGCGCAAAAGAGTGAAGACGCGCGAAGCTGCAGTGGATGAAATGCGATGGAAACGATTTTTTTCTTTTCTTCTTTGTTGCCCTTTGAGGCCATGGCGGGCTTGCTTGTGGACTTCCTCTTCCAAGTATACGCAGCCCCCTTCCTATTCAGCACCACAGGCGTGATCGCCAGCTTCAGTACCCCCTTTCTTCACAAAGACTTGCGGACAACAACTGGTGCTGCCTTCCGTCGCAGTCCAAAGCCAAGCTCGTCAGCGCAAGCCTCGAAGGTGCCCTAGGGTGTTGCTCGGTGTTGCTCATTGGAGGTGTGTGTGTGTGTGTGTTTGTGCGTGTGTGTGTTTTGTTCCCCAAGCTCCACAGGTCCAGTGGTGAATTTTTCGCTCGCTGGTCCTCCTCCTCCTCCTCCTCCATACAGAACCCTGTACCGATCCATGACCTTTCAGTGGACGCTGCTCCACCGTCCGCGCGCGGTCCGCACGGTCCGCGCGCGGTCCGCACGGTCCGCGTCGCGCGGTGCGCACGTGTCGAGGCTGGTCGGAGAACACCGACTTCGTCCTGAGCCCCGGACCAGAGGTTGAGAAGCCCCAAAGCCGGTCCCCCAAAACCATCCAAAACTCCTAAGGGATTCGTGGGCCCAGATTTGGTAGCTTGAATCCCGAAGAACCATTGCTTTACAAAGGGCTTTACACGATGTACTACAAAACCAGGCCAACCATTTTGAAGATGGTCTTTGAAGGCTAGGGTAAAGGCAGCAAGAGTTGCGCGGGACAGTTGAGGGAGCTGATAGATGCGAGGGGCGGCTATATTGTGCTATAAGTCACCTGAACATTTCTGTGACTTGAAGCGGCCCTTTGTTTCTCTCTTACTCCCCAATTCCTAGTTCCTTTGGTTGGCCGAACTAGTCTGAATGAGGACAACCCTCAAATTAGACCATCTAAGGAACTCCTGAATCGCCAGGCGCGCCACACATTTGGTGGCAGCTATACTGGTATACCGATACCATCCAATACCCCAAATGTCGATAGTTGATGGTGAACCCTTCTCCAGCCACGCAAGTCTCTTGGTTTTTGACCTCGTTGGGAGTTGTTGCTGGGAGCACCAAACACCCGAAACAAGGGAGGCATGCGTGGCCGTGCCTCTCGGCAGAGACCGGCGTCAACGTGGCGCCCAAAAACCGTGTCGCTGAGATTTCGGACCTGGCCATGGGGGTGGATGGCACCAGCTTGTGCTCGGGAACCCGATTGAGGGAGAGTTGTTGGTGCAGGGTCCTGACGAACCGCTTGGGCTTACTTTATTGGAGATGGACCCACGAGAGCCTGAGTGACCTCTATTCCGGATCACCAACCGCCCAATATTCAAAAGAAAAGGTCTTTTCCATTCAAAACAGAAGTCAAATGGGTGCTAGGATGCCCTATAGTTATATATACTGTACAAAGTAGTAGACTACTCCCATTGGTCATATCGCCGGTTCAACACCCCCCGTAGGCCCAGGGCTCTGTAGTTGCACCCCTAAATGCTCGGTAAACAAAAAGATGCACGGTGGTGATGGGCCGTGCTGCACGTGTTCACCATTCTGCGCAGGAAAAACCGCGCGGGGCAGAAAAATGGACTTGCGGTGAGCCATGTTCCTAATTCTCAACACATCAAGTTTGCCACCTCCCACATCACGGCATCCTAGAAGTCCCATGAAGGACCTCAGGATCAAATCAGGCCACTCAAGCACCAAACTTCTGGATCTCCTCACTCTCGCGTCTCCCGAACCAACGGTGTCCTCCCGAACCAACGGTGTCCTCACGAACTCCGTTTCCCCAAACGCCCCAAACGCCTTCGCTCCCAGGCGCGGTGAGCGGCGATGGCACCTTGGCCGTCTACGACGTCCGGAAGAGCGGGGAAAAGGCGAGGTTCGACCGAGCGGAGGTCCGTTCGACCTTAGAGGACAGCGATGGCCTAAGAAGCTACTCGCTACTAGTAACAGGTGCCTTACTAGTAGTAACAAGAAGCTACTAGGAACAAGTGCCTTACTACTAGTAACAATAAGAATTTGATTAGACTTGTAATTACTAGCAAAGGAATCTACTAGGACCTTGCGACCTTAGAGGACCCTAAATAGCGAATGGCCTCCAACCTAATAGGTTCAGTGACCCTTAGAGGACCCCACTGCCTATATGGATAGTCCATCGCCTTTGTCCGCTTTTTCGGGTCCAACCTCTGTTGGTCCGCCCCGTCCTCCTGCGTCTCCGGAGCCGTGACGTGGTCGTGCGAGTGGCGCGAGCGTAAGCGGAAGAGCGCCAGACCTGCCTCAGGGGATTGGAAGGGGCGGAGAAGTTTGGAAAGGGCGGGGGCCATGTGGTCAATGATCGCAAGCTGGATCAGATAGATAGATAGATAGATAGATAGGTGGGTGGATAGATGGATGGATAGATAGATAGATAGATAGATATAGATGGATAGATGGGTAGATGGATAGATAGATGGATAGACAGATAGATAGATAGATAGATATAGATGGATAGATGGGTAGATGGATAGATAGATGGATAGATGGATAGATAGATAGATGGATAGATGGATAGATGGATAGATTGATAGATGGATAGATGGATAGATGGATAGATAGATCGATAGATGGATAGATGGATGGATAGATGTCGAACTTTCCTTTTGGGGGTTCACGTTTGGGTGTGAGACTACGACGAAGCGACAAGCGCCACTGCTGATGGTCTTCGAAGACTTGAAATAGCAGACCACACTGCCCATCGATAGGTTTCACGGAGGTTTTGCCAGACTTCCCCCAGCTGGAGGTATAGTCTCCCAATTGTTTAAGACAAGCATGGAAGTGTGTGGCCCATTCATTTTTCCCGGGAAGGGGTCCAACCCATTTTTGGTACCAGATCGGTGGATGCTTTCCTGACAGGTCACCTGTCTCGGGAACACCGGTCACCTTGTGGCTGTTGTTCGCCGCGAGTCACCGGCTTTGGGACCTGCGGCTTCGCCGGACCTGCCGACGCTGCGACGGCGTCAGCGCCAGGGTCTCATTGCGATGTCGGACTTCCAGGACGATGAGCTGCTCTCAGCAGCGACACCCAGCGGGTTCCGCCGAACTCGGGGACACCCGGGGCGCACAGAGGCCGCAGGGCCGACGAGCGGCCATGATGGGAAGCAACATCCGACCTGAAGGTTTGATTGGGTAGGGGTGCGAGGGGTGCGGACCGGAGGCAGAAAACGGACCGGGTCTAGAGAGAGTGGGGATTTCGCATGCAGAATCATCACGGTTACTTACTCATGTCGAATCAACCTGAACAACCGGCTCCTGCTTCTCCCACTCACAATGCTAAAGGAAAGTTTGCTTTCAGAGTCCCTCTGAAATTGAACTTTTGAGCATTTTCTTGATTTCTGGAATTTCTTATTTATATAACAGTCTTGATATTATAGAGACTCTGGAGGAGTAAAGACGGTGAAATGTGCGTAGTGGTGTGCCGTGATTTTGAGAAACCACTTATTTATAAAGAAGTCATTCTGAACCTCAAATCCTGATTCTGCAAGGAAAGAATATGACACCAAGAAAAATCCTGTGAGATCTGCATTCTACAGAGACGACATGTGTAGATAGAATAGAATGTCACAGAAAAGGAACACATGGAAGATAACATGGCTGCCACAGCATGAACCTAGCAAGATTTAAAACTCATGCCGTTACAGCCACCCATCGATGTACTGCTTCATCGCCGTGTGGGCACAGTGTTTCATGGCCGCCATGGTTGATACACTTTGACTCTTTCTGGGTTCTTCAGTGCTTCATGGTAAACCCCGTCTGGCCGAAGCTGCTCTCAATGTTGATGTATGACATGTCAAGTGTCAAACCAAAAACATCTGAAGTGTGGCTTCGATGTGGGTTGATGCATCAACCCGTCTTTGGCCGACTCAAATCCATGATTCAAAAAGCCCGTCTGCTTTCTGACAGCACCTACCAACACCCACACTGTTGTCAAAATCCATGGACAACCGTCATGGAGCTGGACTCCATGATTCTTGTGCTGTTATTCGCCACCCATTCACGGTGCTTGTCTTTCTTGGTAAACTTGTCAATTCATCCAACAGTCCTTTCGCAGTTTCAACGCCTTAGCCCAAGACATCACAGTGGTGTTCTTAAAACACGCAGCAGGACAAAATCACGCGAAACGCCTCGCAGCTTCGCATTCCTTTCTAGTGGCCAAACCCTTTGCACAATCCACGGCAAACACACATTCCAAGCACGTGCTTGTACCTCACACTCGCACACTTCAAAGCCTTCAAAGAACGGCAGAAAGACTCCTACAGTACTCTGGCTAAAAGATGTTTATAGTTTATTGGCATTTGTGCCAGAACGCTGGTTGAATGGTTCGATCACTCTCAAAGAGGAGGCATTTACGAGGCCCCTTCCAAAATGGGCGCACATTCCCACCAATATCCACCAATCAATACTCATTTGTGACCATTTGTGTGCATTTTTGGAAAGTGTAGGCGGGAGGATTGGCAGTCGCCCGTTTGGAGTGCCCAGTGAAACGGCGCGCGTGAAACGGCGCCCAGGTCGCAATCCTGCGACGTGGCACGAAGGCGTGGGTTTGTGGATGTTTGTGGTGTGGGTTTGGTGACCATGAAGAAACACATTGACATGAAGTCAGTCATTGGCGTGGGCTTGTGGGGAGTCATTTCACTTTGAGTTTGGGCTCCTGAAAATGGAAGCAGTTTGGACGGCAGGCCGATCGACTCGATCGACTGCATTCGGCGTCCACACGGTTCGACCGACGCGCGGTCGGTCATTCGACCAGAGAACGACGTGACCGGTCGTTCGACGTGACCGGTCTGGAGGTTTGAAGAGGTGGACATTCATTCAACACGTTTTGCGGGGTTCTTTCTCAATATGGTCTTGCGATTGGTAGCATCCGAACACATGAAGCCCATGAAGACGTTCTTTTTTGGCTCCACTTCAGTCTCCCCGACGTCTCACCTTCAGTCGAAGCAACCCGAAGTTCTGACCGTGGACCATCGTGGATCATGGCAAGCACGCAACCTACGACGGGGTCAGGCTTAGCTGAGGCATAGCTTACTTGGGGTCTTCTTTGGGCCAGGTGATCCCGGATTCCGGGTTTGGGGTCTTCGTGCGGCGGTCCGATGCATGTGCAACGATTCACTCTACCAGCTTCACATGGGGTGTCCGAGAGGTGATCTGTGGCACGCAGACAGGCTGGCGAGGGGGGTCTTGGCACTTGGGCGTGGCGTCTGGACATGAGATCTCTGCAGATCTCTCGTTAAACCTAAAACAGATTGGCAGGATGGGGTGATACGGAAGATCCTTTGCAGAATCACAGCTGCACCTCGCAAGTGACGTGGAACCGAGTTCTCATTTTTCGCAGGTGGCGCAGAATCTTGACCATTTAGAGGTCTACCTGTAGTCCTGGGCAGATCTCATTCGTGCCTCCTCGGCCAGTGACGTAGAAGGCTTGCGAAGAAAGACAGTGCCCGGACACTCATGGACCCTCATATGGAGGGATCGGACCCCATATGGAGGGTTCGGGACCCTCAAATCCCTATGGTTTTGAAGGACCAAGGGTTGTTTGGAGCGTTTGGGTGTGTGAAAAACACGGAGCACATCTCATACTCGCGGCCTGGTTGGTCACTGGGTTCTCATGGGTTGCTACCAATCTTGATGAAGTTCATGGAGTTGGAGTTTCATATTCAGTGTCATTCCACTTTGAGAGCGTCTCCCAAAATAATCCTTTCAGGATCTTTCAGGTGTTGAGGTGTGCTCCTTGACGTCCTATGACCCATCACTCGACGTCTGCCTGGCTTTGGACCAAGTGACCTCGTTGGACGAAACGGGTTGGTTCGGCGGTCCGAGAAGGTGGTGTGGCCCCCACGGTGGGTGCTGCGGATGTCCCCCCGCCCTCTTTGTTCGGCTTGCCGCGGGTGCATGGGAAGCCGGGAAGGGAGTGCTGGAAGGGAGTGCTGAAACAGAGTGCTTGAAGAAGTTGAACGCCCAGGTGAGTGAGTCTGGACTCAAGCCATGTTCAATCAACACATCCACTTCTACCGATACCACCCCAAGCCAACATCCTTCAGCCATGAAGTCCTTGACTCTTCCGACTGTTGTGAGCCTTTCGGTCGAAGGCGTCCTGCCAATCTTCAGCTGGGGGGATTTCGGTGATCAGAAGGCGGGAGGATGCGCCTTGCACCAGGCAACAGGAAGCGACAGGAAGTCTACTTCTGGCCAATGGATTGATATCTTCGAAATACTTTGCCAGTACACGTGTTGGCCATGCCATGCATGTCAGGATCGCATCAATGGCCATTCCATGTCAGTGGACGCCATGGTGAAGTTGGCGGAAGTCGGGGTGGCCCAGGCGCATTCGGCGCACGCTTCGTCGCACACCAGGAACGCACACCGGTCAGAACGAGTCGCACCGACCTTGAGGCGTCATGGTGTCATATACCAGGACCTTCAGTACGTGACCTCTTTGGAGTTTCTAACTCTAAGTGACCTCTTTGGAGTCTCTAAGACCTCAGCCACTAGGACCAGGATCTCAAGGACGGTCACTGACTGAAGGTCCTGGTAGTGAAGTTATAAGATGATATATAATAAGTGTGTTTCCCAGCCGGGAAAGATTCGAATTCACTTCTCCCAAGACATGTCGCTGCAACTTGGTAGGACTCGGTAGGAATTCACTTTCCCTTTCTTCGGGGGCCCCAGACGCTGCAAACAGCCCTTGGTCCCCTCCATATGAGGCTCCGTCTGCGGGGGATCAAAGTGGTGAGCCAGATGCTTTGGGCAAAAAAGCCAATCCATCGGGACTTCACCTGTTCTTGGCTAATTAATCTTCTCCGCCCACCCTGAAAAGCTCCCAAAAGTCCGGGATGAGGTCGATTGGTCGAGGTTGATTTGGTCGCGGATGGCACAAAGCTCGGAAGCTTGCGACCATTTCGCGATGAAAATCCGAAGGCATTCGTTAAGAACAGCAAAGCTATAACAGTTCACTCCCGAGGAAGTGACAGCCTGGGATTCCAACAACCATTGGCTTTAATGGTCTTGCCATAGGTTTTAGACTAGACCACCAGGTCGTTTCCATTCTTTTCATGGTCAAACTGAAGGCGACTGGGTATATTCTACAAATAAACAACATGCGCTCTGTCCTGGCGATGAAGAGCATGTCCGGAGCCTCTGGCCGACGACTTCGCAGAGTGGATGCTGTGATTTTTTTACTCACTTCGAGTGATGGTGGCGAGAGCAGCTGGCTCCCGAAAGAAGCAGCTGGGGGCTCCGTGCAGTGCTGTTTGGACCGTCAGGGGCTTGTCATTCAGGAAGTCCCTTGTGGCATTTCATGGCGATGAGTACGTGTGTGAATCGGTCTTCCGATGACAGATGAAACGGACATTCATCTCGAAGTCCATTTTGCCTGTGATGCCATAATGAATGAGACCAGAGACTTCATGAATGACCCGACAGCCTTTGATTTTGCCCTTGAATACTTTGGGTGGAAGACTGCAGGACGCCTTTCAGAACGTCATCGGGCGGGCGCTGCGAAGATCTCATCGGTGGCGCCTCTATCGATTGAGGTCCCGCGTATCGCTGCCAACAGGACGCACTACCCTTGGGCGTGCGAAAGGCCACAGATCTCAGAAGGATCGAAAAAGGTGTGCCATCGGAATGGACGCTGCTAGACTAGATTTGCAAAAACGATTTTCATCGTGGGAGACTTGCTTTTGTGTCTCACCGCATGGTGAGCGTGCCGAGCGGGCCTAGGTCTCAAACGAAACTGAGGAATGAGAGCACCATTTACGAACTTATAGGGAACCGCCTTGTGACTGCTGAGGACAGCATCATCACGGGCTCTTCCGACGGCAAGCTCCGGGTGGTTGCGGTTCACAGTAAGAGCTTGGGAGCTCAGCAGGGCTGGGTCAGACTTCGACTGCTTTTGCGGGTGAGATGGCAGGTTTTGGGAGATCTACACCGCTTCAGGTTCATTTGGGTCTTGAAGGGCTCAGATCAAAAAGCAATGGGACAGTCACCATCTTTTCCCGCACGTTCATTGAAGACGAGGATATCCATTGAAGACACCCTGTTCAGGCCGCGGGTGATGAAGTCCTCTTCAGAGTCCTCTGATCATCATAATTCCTCTTTCGAACCACGAAACGTTGACCAACAATGTAACAAAAGACTTGAACGGACTACTGATTCCCTGCCCAGTTCCCTTGTCCCTTCCTTTCACTGCTTGACCCCGGTGGATCCTGGAGAGGCCTTCACAGCCAGATTTTGGGAATCCTTGGTGAGCCCGAACGCCCAGAGGAAGATGGAGGGCCTTTTCATGTCATTTGGCCACCTGTACGTAACATTTTTGAGACTCTGATGTTGTTTGGATGTCCGTTGGGATTGGCAGAACACATTGATCGATATAGCCTTTTGGAGTCATTCTGGGCCTAGAGGGATGTTCAATGGAGACCCAGTTGGAGACCCAGCCAGCAACGACTCAGTCGACGGGCTTCCGATGGGCGAATGTCGAACCACCCTCGTACGTAGCTTCCGATGGCTGCCAAGCAGTGAAGGAAAATGCGCAGGTCGAAGTTGGAACACGTCATTTTCACATGTTTCTTGCACCAGCTAGTAACAAGAAGCTACTAGGTGGAGGCCATCGCCATCGCTACGAACGGAACAAGAAGCATAAGAAGCTACGAACGTAACAAGTAAGGTAGGTAATTTTTCCCCATTCTGCGAAAAGCAAGCGCTTCTCTTTGACGCTCCAACATATTATTCATAATCAATGGATATAGTATTGATGGTCATCTATAGATCTCAAGGTCATCCAATCGATCCTATGCTTCATGCTTCATCGAGGATGAGCGCCGAATATCCCATCGAGCGCCTCTCCCTCTCGCCGGTGCGCGCAGGGGGGGGATTCTGCCCGTGGTGGTTGAGGTTCATATTTTTCAGCGTGGGCTTGGCAGTGCAAGCAAGGGTCACTGTCAACGAACGCTGGACAAAAGAACCTTTGGGTGGAAGAGAGTGGAAGTCTAAGTTTCACTACGTCCAAGCGAGGAAGTGGGTTGCGGGGTGGGAGTTCTACTTTCTTGCAGGGTCCCGTTTGGTGGGACGTCCCGTTTGGTGGGACGTTTGGGTGTTTGGCGGCAAGGTAATGGGCTCTATAGCCAAATCCTGAGCCACCTGGGAGTCTGAATAGCCCTTCTTGGTCCCACCGAAGAGCTGAGAAAGAGGACGGTCGACGAGGGGGTCGACTGTCGCCTTCACCTTCACATGGATTCACGATCCACCTGCAACGGATGGAGTGCGGCTGCCACTGTCAGAACACCAAACGTTGCCAACCCAAAGAAGAGACTCCACCTCAAAGGCTTGAAGTCTGGACCCCTGAGAGTTCACACTCTTTTGCTCTGGATTCGCACAAACTTGGAGTGTGTGAAGGGACCAGGACTAACATAGAGAGAAACCCTGAAGGTGAACGCCTTTGTTTGTATTGACTCGCTGACTCTCTTTGCAGCTTCGGTTTTTCAGGGCTTGTGTGGAAACCACTCTTAGAGTTCAGTGGATCAACGCGCGCGGCTTCGGCTTGATTTGCTTGCATGGAACGATGTCCTTTGGACAAGCAGCTTGAACACTCAAGCACAGTCACTCTGTTTTAGGGAGGGCAAGAGAACGAGGTGGGTTGCGCTGGGAACCGCACCTGGACTCATTCGCGTGCATCGTGAGTCAGATGATGTGTCGTTGAGACGCCGTGAGGCGCTTGGGGAGAGGCAGTGTGGATTCGCCTCCGTGGGCTTTGTATAACCAATCACAGCATGTCGACGAAGATGTTGTGCGCATTGCACCTGTCAGGAAGGACACCTGATGTGAGGAACACAAAACAAGCTTCATGTCACTCTGCTGTTGCCAGGAGCAGTTCAGGGTTGACCAAACAGAGTTCCACTCAGTCAGTTGCAAACAGGCACTTCCCCATCGGCATCACAGCAGGACATTTTTGCCGGAGCTATAATGTTGAGTGGCCTGCAACCCTGCCTAGAAGACTGCAACGGCGGTACATAAAACGTGTTGTCTTCCCATTTCCTGACCCAAAACTGCTTATCCTATCTGGTCTTCCCATCCTATCTCTTACGTTCTCAGGTCTCACTCCGCATCGCACCGAGTGCCAGGACGCCAGCACCCTGGCGTGCAGCTCCCATGGGCGGCCCTCCGTGCAGCTCTGGTCCACCGAGGCCACACCGTCGCGGACCCATCGGTTCGGAACTCGCTTCGACGTTCCACCGGGGGAACCGGGTTCTGCTTCTTCTTGAAACACCAAAAACAAAAGGAAGCTGAGAGAAAAGGATGTGAAAGAACACCAAGCTGGGAAGCTTTGGGCTTGAAGGGTTTTGCTCTTGGGCAGTGTAGATGTGTGATGCTGTGTGAATGATTCTGATGTGTGGTTGCTGTTTCCATTCTGTGTGGGCATTTCTATGCAGCTGTCAGAAGATGTCAGCAGGTAGATGCCCAATTTGTTCATCATGAAGGCCTCATGTGAACATGAGATTCTATGAGCCAATTGAAGATGGTGTCATTGCCATTTTCTGCCAGGAGTTTCTCTCTCTACGCAGGTCATTTTGGGTCGTTTTCCACTGGGGTGTGGAAAAACCATGAAAAACGACGTACGCCAGTGGTGTCTCACCTGGTTTGCTGTCTCACCTGACTGAAGCCGCTCTGGGCCGGAAAGGGAATGAGGGTCATGGATCCCTAGTGGTGTCTCTATATATAGCTCTAGGGTGTCTCTCTCTCTCTCTCTCTAAGTGGATTCCGGTCGCACCGACTGGTCACCGACCGCCGGGGATTGGCCGAACCGGTCCCAAAACCGCCTGGGATTGCCCGCGTCGCAGGCAGCCAGGCGCTTGATGGAGGGCGAGAGCTGGGAATCCATCTTCGAGGCGAGCGCTTCGATGCTGGAACGGGTCGAGCGGACGAGCTGGTGAGGTGGGCACTGTTCTGATTTTTTTCTCATCACTTGCTGCGAGAGGTTAGAGCAGTCGGTCGGCCAGGAGCGCCCCGAAACCGTCGCGGTCCGATCGCGACGAGTCGGTCGTTTTCTGCCCGAAAGGGTTCCAGACTCGTCAATTCTTGTTACGGTCGTAGCGATGGCCTCGACCTAGCGTTCAGACCTGCACCTAATAGCTGTTTTCTGGTTCATTCCGAATCTTTGCCCCTGATTTCAGGGCTTTCACTTCCTCACCCCTCACCCCAGCACCGTGCTCGCTCACCCGAGGTGCCGGACGAGGGAGCCGAGGGAGAGGGAGCGAAGGCGGACCCAACAGCTGCTGAGTCCGATGATGACAGCAGTGAGGAGGACAGTGGATCCGGAGGTTTGGAGCCGGATTGCGGGGTGCAAACACCGGAGGGTTTTTCTGGCGCTTGCAGTAGATGCCTATACATGGGATCCTATTGGTTTAAATACTCTCATATTGGTTTTCGGGTAGTTTGCCTGATAGATGCCTATTGGTTTGAAATCGATGTTTCCAAAGTATTTCATTGTTGGTGCTGATGATGAAAACAGATGCTTGTGAGTTGTGAAGGAGATATTAAAGAAGCCCAGTCATATAGAGTTGGCCCGAAGCCTCACCCAAAGACTGCCAGGTTTGACAGAAGCACCTTGAGACGCAGCATGATGGTGTTCGCATGAAAAGGAGCAGCCGAAGAAGAAGAGACGAAAAGAGAAGAAGAAGGGGAAGAAGAACGTCCCAGGCAGGATTTGTGCATTCTTAGTAGCTCCCTGCTCGGGAGGTGTGCGTTTTGCAGAGCAAGGTACTGTAGATGCCAAAAAGAATAGTCGCCTAGCCTTCCAAGCACAGATTTATATGATATTCTTTACGGAGCCACACATTGTTTTATTAATTAATGATTTTACGCTACAAGACCAGGCCGACCATTTAAAGAAAACACCCTTGGAAGGTTCGGGAGACTCCCCCTTAGAAAATCTACGGTGCCTGCCATGATTTCTTGCATCCCACGGTGCGCAGGCTCCAATGCGAAGCAACATCAGGCCCACCTGCTTCACCGTTTAGATCGCGCGTTGCCAATCTCTAGAGGCGAAGTGGGACAACATATCCACCAACGGAAAGGGTCTGTCCTATTGCCAGCAGGGAGCAGGAAGGGTCAACAATTATCATTCACTATTTTAGAGAAGGGCCTGCAACCTAACCATCATCCACTGTTACTGGCAATGGGACAGACCCAGCACAAAAGTGTAGATGGATCAGAGAGTTGCACGGAGAGACCGTCGTTGCACGGGCTCTACCGTGCCGCCCTACACACGACCCGTGTGCCCGGTTCGTGTGTCCCACCCGGATGGTCCGTGCGTCGCATGAATCGGTCCGTGTCCGACACAACTGAGTTGTCTCTCCAAGTGATCGGCCCCACAGTCCCCCACCGGCAGGCCCTACCCAAGTCACCTCAAAGCACCGGAAAAAAAAGGGTGAAGGCCACTTGGAAGAACCAGGACTATAGTTCTTTTCTGATGTCGGCCTGCCACCTCATCCTCGGGGATCTGACCGAGCCCTAGGGATCTGACCTCCCAGGCAGCCAAGTTCTTTGCTGGCTTATAAGGTGCGTTCGCATGCGTCACCGCGCGCTGGACGGATGGGCCGAGGCCGAGGGGAGCTAAGGGAGAGTTGGAGTGTGGTGTTTTTGGAAGATGTTGGATCCTGCAACAAGCATGGAAGTGGAGTTGTCTCCCCCAATCCTTCTGAAAAAACAAGACCTCTTCCGCTCTTCCATGCCATCCACTCCGGTTTTGACACATCACCACACCGCGTCTTTTTGGTCGGACTCGATGTGGAAAACATGGAAATGGAGAGCCTGAACACTGATAGGCTGTTCGAAACACACTGATTCTATCTCACCCGACGTTCACTGTGATGTTCACTCAAGTGGGCATGAGTCATGACTATGTCATGACACCTGGAACCCGACCAGTCCACCATTTGCCGCGAGTCCGACCAGTCCAATAGGTAGGTGAACCACCCGGGTGGGTCTGCCGGACGGGAGCTCGTTCATGTTCTACCTCAAGGGATCTTCGTTCACATGTTCTACCTCCAGCTCGTTTTCTTCTCTATTATGAAGACCTTTGTTAAATGTTAGTTTGGTCCTTAGCAACGTTTGAGAAGGTTTTAGCTCTCCTCAGCCACTGAGAATCTTTTTCATAAGTCGACTGGCGCCAAGCACTAAGAAGAGGTTTCGACCGCAAGACTTGACAAAGAAAAAGGCCGTGGTAACAAGGGCATTGCTACTAGTAGCTAGGGTATTGCTAGTAGTAACAAGGGTGGCCGTTACTAGTAGCTGGGGCATTACTACTAGTAACAAGTGCGTTACTACTAGTAGCAAGAAGCTACTACTAGCGATGCCCTTGTTACTAGTAGACCGAACAAGTGTAAAGCATCGAAGATCCAAACCGCGTCATCGCCAAGCAGCGCTCTGCGAGAAGGCACAGCAGCGCTCCCGTCCCGTTATGCACCGAGAAGGCCTGAGGCTTTTTGCCTCATAAGACAGGCAGAACCGGAGAGAACCGAGACAGAATTACTTCTGTCAGAAAGCGATGGTATATAATATATAGTCGTCCATTGTACTTATTGTAAGTATAGCCAATGACACATTGTGACAAGTTAATGGAGATGTTACAACTACATCATTCAATCGTGACATACAAGGACTTACATAACATGAAATCAATGTAAGTGAAGCTGGGTAAGAACATGGAGCTATGCAAACATGCTCTCATGGACATATGAGGAAATTAAGATGCTCACATGCCAAGGTGACGTTTGCATCTTTTTGCCACAAACCCTTCTTGCTGTGATGGCAGCTGAACATTTGCAGCCGTGTCTAAACTTCAAAGCCTAGCGTTTTGCAAGAGATTTCCCATATTTCTGATGACTCGACTTTTCGTTGCAATGGTCATGATGACCAGCGTGTCTGCCGTCCGCTTTGAGACTGCAGAGGGCCCAAGCATGTGTGATCGTCAACTCCGCGTGAAGGACATGGAAGAGGCCGGGTGTGAGTGCTTTTTAATCTTGAACAAAACTCGTTTTGATGGCGGGTAGTTAGCAGCAGGAAAGAGAACCATGACGAGGTCAAAACCAAGCACGGATCCAGCTCCGGATCTGGCACAAAGACCTTGACACAGTGGACTTCAAGTGTACTTTACGTTCACTACCAGTGCTATGTGAAGGCTGGGCTGCTGAAACCCCAATATTTCGTTCGATCACACAGGTATTCTGTGGGTTGCGAGAAGGCCTTATTGACGAAAACTACCACATACACGAAGCTCAAATGGGACCTCATCAAGGACTATGGCATTAAGAAATGCACGAACGAGGAAGACTATGAGGATCTGGAGGCCGACAGCACCGCGCCCATTCCCGTGCTAGATGGCAAATCCCAAAATCAAATGGTCAACAATATGTTTGCAGCCATGGACCGGGGCGAATCGCCATTCAAAGATGACGAGGACGGGTTGCCAGTCGGAGCTGCCAAGCAGAGATTTCAGGGTGGTGCTGTAGTGGAAGTAGAGGAACGCAATGGAAAGATCTACAAGCTGACGCGCCAAGTGAGCAAGTTCGGATTCAGTGTCTTCATCGTGAAGTGACCGCGCACGCTTGAGTGCACGACTGCTTGACAGATTGCGCATGAGTTTAAAAGAGCTTGTCAAGGTTTTGAGTTATAAGGACTTGTACCTTGTACCACTGACTAAGCTTGACCATATCCTGAGCTCCAAGCAAGTGCTGTGTTTGTTTGATGTGACGTGGAATCCTTGTGGTCCGGGGGTTCTCATGTTCGGCCTTCGCAAATCGTATTGGACCAGCCAATGCTAGGTTTCTGCCGGATCTGCTTCGTTGTCGCCATGGCGGCTGGAGTCTGAACCTCAGCTTTGCGACCGTAAATGGTGGACAGGTTGTCTTTGACTACTTGAACGGACATGAGTTTTTGATGTTTTTGTACCTGCCATAACCCACATCCAAGTGCGGGCGCATGTTTTTTTTTTTTTTTTCAAGAGCAGCACCACGAATGGTGCCTGAAGGATTCTTTGAGGTCCTGCTGAATGCGAAGACGTCGACGCGATTTCACATGTGCGTGGCCAAACTGTGGTTTGCGTGGCTTTTGTGGGTTGCGTTGAAACCATGAACCCTCCGACCCCATCGGAATTAATCCACACCGTGGCCGCGGGTGGTGAGCTTGGTGTTTCCAAAAGTCAGTTTTTCCTGCATGATTCGGCAGGGCCCCAGATCAGCTACAACATGTTACAAAGTTTCTTTTCAGATGTTGGGGGGCATGGCCATGCAAGTGTCGCAGTCGCAGGTGTGCAGAATGAAGAGAAACCAGGGACTCCCAAAGGAACTCGCTCCGAAGCAGATTCTGGAGGCTCTTCATAGACAAAAACATCATGTCCAGTACATTTTCCCACTGTCAGCGACCAACCTCAGACACTGCGAGGCCATCTCCGGACCTACGACCTCCACGGGCAAACCTGACCCGGACGAAAAAAGAGTCCACAAGAGCTTCACTTGGAGGTCTTTTGAAGGGCCTTTGTTTCTGGCAAAGGTGTGGGGGTCGCGACTGACGCCCGTGGCGGCGCCAGTGCGGCACTGTATTGCACCAGACTTCAGGCTTTGGCAGCTTCAAACACAAGCAGTTTGGCTACATGATGCTACAGGGGCCGTGCACATGAGGTCCATTTCGGAGACAGGGAGAGACGAGACATGTTTTGAGACCAGACGTGGCACGTCAGGACAGTTGAGCGATTTGTCAATCCGGTATGCGGGAGAGGTGCCACGTGCCGCCCCACTTCGGCGCGGGGCACTGTTTTTTTTCACCTCTTTTCAGCCATGATATTTGCACCTTTAGAAGACATGCAGAGTTCGAATCACTAAGGCTTGTCCCACGAAATAGGAGCTATAGTGTACTCTACGAAACCGTATGTACCATTTTCAACCAAATCTTTTTCAAATTTCTTGCGAATGGTCCAGTGTTCTCGATGAGTTGATGGAGCTCCACAACTGGTGTCGAGCTCCACGAACAGCGCCCCTTTCGGCTCCAGAGGGGTCCGACTGATGAGTGGACGGTCGATTTGGTAGAATACATATACCACCTGTCAAGGTCTCCAAAACTGCCTGTTGGAGGGTCCTGGTATACAATATATACCCTAGAAGTCGAACCACCATTGTTCTAATAGCCTTTACCGAACAACCTTTGTTTCACTAAAGGTTTTACACAACAAAACCAGATCAACCATTTAAAAAATGGTCTTTGACTTCCAGGGTATATATATTAACTTTTAAAGAATCTAAGAACACCTCAGATAATATCCTCGGATCATCTCAGATCATCATCTCTTGGGAACTGTGCCCAGATCATTTTGAACATGACCAGCGAAGCAATGCGAAGCAATGCGCAGCAAATCGCGTCACATGTCACAGCCTTTGGTACCTCGGGATATACTGTTAACTCCCCCTTGTTCAGTTCACCTACACACTCAGTCAAGATGTGAAGCCACTGTTCCAGCCAAAGAGCCGCACAACAAGCCACAGACCTTTGTCGCCCATGGTGTCTTGACACCAGCTGGCGCTCAGCTCGTGGTGTCTTGACGCACGATTAAGCGGCTACTGAGTCTTCGACTGGTTGTTTGGTGTTGATTTTTGAGCTGGTGAAACCCCACGGGTGCCTGCAGGTGGCAGAAGAAAATCACATGTCAGGAACCAAGACTTCCAGTCGTGTCTTCAACAGAATGATACTCCAGATCTATCCAGATCACAACTTGATGAACTTTCACTTCTTCATACTGACTTCTTCCATCTTCTTGTCTCCTAGGCAGAGTTTTGCTAAGCTTGGCATAGGGTATTCACTCTGAATCGCATGTTTTTTTGGCTTAATAGCTGTTTCTTTCGTGACCATCAAAAGTCCTTGTGAAACATCCATTCCTCTGTCACCTGGCTGACCAAAGGTTCATAGAGATGCTAGCTTGACGCAGGATGTCTTCCACTGTACTAAAGCAAAGAAGTAATATTTCAAAAGCTCTTCTGCTTAAGGCACAGATGGGACCTCACAGAAAGACGGTCGTATGTTGCTCCTTTTCATCCTGTCGGTGGAGACGACACGAGACCACGGAACTCTTGCTCTCCGTCGCTCGCTTTTCACTCGTCAGAGACCGCTGAAAGACATCGTCGGACGTGCGGACTCGAGCAGGTCAGTGGATGCGGCGGTTTAGGGGGGGTAGAACGAGCTCAAGAACCATGCTCGGCCTTCCGGGGGCTCAGTGATGGTCAGTGGCTTTGGGTCATCCATATGTTTCTGAACAATTGGACAGGGGTCGACCGGGGCTTCTCCTTGATTAAGCCAGCTCCTGCGCTAGCTGGCTTTTCTCTGGTCTGGAGTTTGTCAGGCGATGAGCAGTGCTTCAAGTAGCCAACCTGGAGGCGAGGTCTGGGGGGGGTTGGATGTGGAGAGCTCCTGTTCGGAGAAATGGAACCGAAGAGTCTTTGTGCTTTTTCTTCCTTGACCGAAGAGCGTTTCGTTTTGATTTTTGGGAGACCCTTTTGGTTTAGGGCCAAATGGACCAAACCCAGCTGAGTCGTTTACCCTCCCTGCAACAAACTTGTATATACTGAAATTGAATCCTTGAAGAACAAAGACAGCGTTGCAGTGTGTTGACCCATGTTGATCCAATCGTTCCAGCCTGGTGTGTTGCAGTGATATCGTTCAAGTGCTGTGAACATTTCCGTTGGTCTTGGCCGAACACGAAAGGAACTTGGCCTATCGTCTCAACACCAAGCAGGATCCGAACCATCCCGAACGCTGGGTAGCGACCCCATCACAGTGGGCTGTGACCAGCCACTGCTCGACGATTTGTGGTGCCGAACCCAGCCATCACTCGGCTACGAACTACCAAGCCAAGATTTTGCAGGCTACTTTCCTAAGAGGCTGATACTTCGGTTGCTCCCACACCATTGTCGCTTCACATCACCAGGTGCGATCCTTGTGTCGCTGAAACGGCGTCGCTGGTGTTACATGGGAAGGCTCTGTTCCCTGGCCAAGATGGTCATCTTGGACCTCCCTCGCTTGGGCGATGTGTCAGAAGCAGCCTAATGCCTCAATTGCCTGAATGCTATCTGACAAAAAGCTTGATTCACATCCCATTCCTTTTGACCGTAGAGCCGCTCCTACGAGTCTGCGCAAACAGCCCCTCGTGTCCTTCAGTTCAACAATGGTACTAGTGGTCACTTACAATCCACTATGGTGCACTTTCGGCGGCCTTCTACTCTACTACCGCTTTAAAACTCCGACACTCAATCCCTTTTGGTACGGTTCAAGATAGCTTGCTCCGGTTCTGTGAAGAATTAGCACTTCAAATCAAAGATACAACAACAAAAATTGGGCCGCCCGATCAGTTATACTTGTACCAAAGTGAACCTCTTGGAAGTCTACGATCAGCCAAAGGGAGATGTATGCGTAAGTGTATGCGTATGGAACACAAACAAGACAGGCCACAAGAAAAAGACATCACACTCCAGATGGCAGTGTGTCCCAAAACCTTCTTCGGTGCAGACTATGCACCTTGGATCAAACAGTTTGCTGAGCGCCTACGACGCGAGCGCGACGCAAGCGAAACCCAATGCAGGTTGTTGGCCCTAGGTCCCTAGTTTGATCAGTAAGGCTGCGCGAGACTGGTGATTCGACCAGCTACTCGTAGCGCAATACGACTGGTGGGGGCTTTTCTTGCTTGTGAAAGGTGGGCATGGGCGATAAAAGTTGTCTCCAATGAGACTGCAATGTATACCTTCAAGACAGTCCAGGCTTCATCTCGCTTTACACTGGCCGACAGCAAAAGAGCATAAAAGAGCAAAAAAGCATCCTTTTTGATTTGATCGTTGGTTGCCAGACAGGGGCAGCCATCACAATCTGGAATAGCAGTGAAAATGGAGAATGTAAGTTGTGTGGGCAGGGCAGCCTGATACAAATGACATCAAATTGGCAAGGTTGTGTCCAGGAATTTCCAGGAATATCGGCAGCTTTTTTTTTTAAATGTTCATTATTGTTATTATTGTGACTTGTTCCCTGAACTAGATGTTTGTGTAGCGTCGAATCGCAATCGAATGTTTGAAATGTAGTTTCCCTGATGTTTTGGCTCAAGCTTGCCAACCGCTTGATGGACCGGGCGTTGCCCCCTGTGGTTCTGGGGGCCTCGATCGGCTCGTGGGCCTGGTGGAGGAGTTCCTTCGTTTCGAACCTGCAGGACACAGCTGTTCGGGTGGTGCTCGATAGAGGTTTGGCATTGGTGACGCTGGTGTCAGAGGACTTGAGAGCTGACCATTTGAGCTGTTTTGTGCAGGTGACTGCTGTTTTAATAGTGGTTCACTATCGACGGGAGCTTCATTTCTTTGTCGGCCTGGCATTTCGAGGTGCTTCAGCCCTTGGAAAGTTGCTTGTTGAAGTGTTAGAGTGCATTTGTGCGCTGTTGTCCTGGTGGGTGCAACTATTGCATTGGTCCTTGTTGTTGGCCATCAGCCCTCGAGAACAGGATACTTACTTCACCTCAAGTGACATGGCCGTTGTAGCTGGTCCACCTGTGCCGATAGGTTCTTTTGTGCTACTGAGTCGCCCGCCGGAATGGGACGAGGTCATGGTAGGTGCTTTCACGGACAATTACAACCTTGCCATCTGCAAGACCACCAATGGTATAGGCGATGCCTGGATTTGGGTTTTGGTTCGAGTGGATGGTCTTCACATGCGACTCCCAACCCTTGGAGCCCACGGAGAGAGGAGGGCACCAGGTGGGATTGGAGAGGACGACATCAACTGGATTTGTACCCCACCGGCTGGTGCAGCCCAGTGGAGGCCTGGGGCAGCGGAGATTCCAAACATTGCAGCAGAGGCCAATTTGATCCTGGCTCAATACAACACTTCGGGGGCTGGCTGGACGGTCAACGTCCCTGGAGTGGCAGGGCCCTTGGTGGAGATAGTGGCAGCTGGTGGTGGAATTCCAGGGCCTCTGGCAGGAGGCGGAGGGGCCGCGGCCGCGGCCTTGCCCGCGGGTGCAGGGCTGGGAGTTGGCGGGGGGAGTCCTGTCGGTGCTCAGTCCCAAGATCTGCAGGCCCTGGAGGCTGCTGTCCGAGACCTCCAACGGATGGCATTGAGTCCAGGATCGAGGATGAGCAAGTCCAAGAAAGACAAAAAGAAGGATCGCAAGAAAAGCAGCAAGGGCTCCAAGAAGAAGAAGGACAAGAAGAAGAAGAAGGGCAAGAAGCGATCCGACAGCAGTTCCAGCGATTCAGCAAGCAGCAGCTCCAGCACATCCCGGTCGAGGAGTTCCCGCAGCTCCTCAGACGAGAAGAAGAGTCGTCCTTTGCGGTGGAAGGAGCACGGCAAGGATCGTGCAGTCAGTTACTCGGACCTGACTCATGTCGATGCATTGAAGCTCAAGCGCAAAGGCGACCTGCTGGCTTTCGCCAGCAAGAATCCGGGGGCCCTGACAGCTCATTTTCTGGCAGGGGTCTACTCCCGGCTAAGCAAGGGCTCTTTGACCAGGACTGGACAGCTTCGAGATGTGAGCGTGACATCGTGGGCTCACCAATTTGCTGGTCTCACGGAGATTCGGGACCTCAAGGAGGTGATCACGCTCGCGGAAGTGCTGGACTCGATCAATCGAAAAGAGATCTCCCGAGCCTTAGACATCATCTGCCAGCGGATCATAGCCATCCAGTCGGCGAAGCAGAAAGGAGGCTCGTGGGAAAAAGCGGAAGCAGTCGAACTCATCGACACTCGGAAGTCCCTAGCCAGCTCAGGGATGCTGGCTCTCACAAACTCTTGAGTGTTGGACTGCGGAAAGCCTGGTATCGGCGGGGTGGCCGTTTTGACTCACAGATGCCATTTGATGACTTCTATGGAGTGGCAACCAAAGCATTGATGGAGGCTTTGCAGAGGGGCCATGATGAGCTTGGTTTCTGTGATTCACTACGGGTTATGCTGTCGAGGACAGGCCGTGGCAAGTGCATGCATGAATTCAGCAAACAGCAGAAAGATCAGGGCCTGGGGTGTGGTTTGTCGCCGGCCAATGTATTTCCATTGCCTTCGCTGCCTGTCGATTTCAGCTTTGCTGGGGTCGCGTGTTCGATGAGGGCGGAGGGGTTACGAGCTGGCTCCAATCTTGTGCTCCTGGCTTTGAACTGGCTGCATGGGGGTCGTGTCGATCTTGTTTCGAACATTGTCACGGCAGCCCACAGGCGCATCTTCTCGCAGGTGGAGTATGCGCTCAAGGCTCTGGTGTTGACAGATGAGCCTACGATGGGGCCGAATGGGCTCGATCATTTTTTGAGGCAGACGCGACTTTACACCGGTTCAGGTGTGGTGTTGGCTCTGGGCGTGAAGGGCGGGGTCCCTGAGAAAGCTGCTGATGTTCCATTGGCAGATCACCTTCAGGAGCATTTTCCGGAGATGGCGAGACAGGTGCTCTTTCCTGGGAACTTGTTGTTGCCACCAAGGAAGCGGCCCAGGCGGGTCAAGAGGGGATTCACCTGGACGGCGCCCACATACCCGGAGTTGGTCAAGAAGAACGTCAAGGCGGGATTGCAAAAACTCAAACATCCTAAGCAGGTTGCTCGGTTAGGGGAGAAACTGGTTCTGGCTGGGGCCTTTGCAGTGAAGAAGGACGACAAAGAAGATAGAGTCATCACTGACCCAGCGGTCAATCAGCTTCTGGACCCATCGAAACTCCCTCGACCCCGCTTTGCTTATATTCCAGCGTTGAGGTCAGTCACGGTACCACGTACAGGTGTGATTGCAGTCAGCAAGCGAGATGCCCGTCACTACTTTCATCGCCTGCGCATAGGCCGGAGATGGGGGCGATGGCTTTGTTCGCCGTCAATTGAGCTTCCGTGCAGGCAGGGTGGCATACGGGTCATGTATCCAGCAGCACAGTCAGCACCCATGGGTTTTGGACCATCAGCAGGTTGGGCTCAGGGGCTAACAGATGTTGTGGCTAGGGATGCACACTTGCCGGAGGACAGCAGATTACACCCTGATTTGATCATCCCTGAGGGTTTGCCTTTGTGGGGGTCAATCATTGACGACATCTGGGCTTTGGATCACCTCGAAGACGAGTCGGCTGCAGGCACTGGACCGCAGTGGTTGCAGAAGGCCGAAGAGGCCTGCTGCCTCAGGGGCGTTGAACCGAACCACAAGAAAACCGTTGACCTGGCGTCGGGTGAAGAGATTCAAGGCTACTATGTGCACCCCACTGATCACTGGGTTGGACTTGCAATGGACAAGCGTCGATCTTTATTTGAGGCTTCCCTTGCAGTGCTCATGAAACCACGTGTGGTGGTCGGGGTGATCGACAGACTCATTGGGAAGCATAGTTTCCTACACTCCTGCCGTCCGCCATTGAGGTCGATCTTTCAGGATGTCTACCCTTGGATTGCCGAAGTACGTGGCAGGCGCCGGGATTTGGTTGAGCTTCCAACAGCAGTCTGGATTGAGATCTGCATCTCCACACTCTTGATCCCATTTGCACAGTTCAGTCTATCCAGCGAATGGACTCAACGTGTCGAGTGCACTGACGCTTCAACCACAGGTTTGGGTCGGGCCTATGGTGTGGCTCCTCTTCCAGTGGTGCAGGCAATGGCGCGTTATAGTGATCATAGCAGAGTTTACACAAACCTCAAGCTGCCGTGGAGCATAGGGCTGACAGCAGAGCATAAGTGTCCCTTAAGGAAGATTCGATTACCGAAGGAGCGCATTCGGTGGAAGTTCATTGGCACCCCATGGACTTGCACACACATCACTCTGGCGGAGGCGGATGCAATCGCGTGGGCGGCAGAAGACCGGCTGCGGAGGCCGAAAGATGACTCTTGCAGATTTGTACACCCAGTTGATTCAGCAGCGTGTGCAGGTTCTTTTGCAAAGGGTCGGTCCAGTTCACATCAGCTCAACAAACGTTGTCGTAGGGTTGCGGCGGTATGCCTGGCTGGCGGTCACGAGGTTTGGCACCCCTGGCTCCCCAGCAAAGACAACCCTGCTGATGAGCCGTCCCGTCGCTTCGAGCCTCGGGGGGGCGCTCCCACACCAGCGAAGGTCGAGGCGCCTGCAAGCTCTCCGGACGTTGACCTGAGGGAGCTAGGACTTTGGCGTGAGGACACTTTGTTCTTCATTCACTTCTGCTCGGGGCCTCGCCGTAAGGGGGATCTTCTAGATGCTGTTGAGACGTTGTGCACAGAGCATGGTATTGCTGCGCAAGGTTTGGCTATTGATCCTCTAGCAGAAGTGGGTGGTATGATAGGTGAACACAAGGCAGATTTACTTCAGCACACATGGTATGAAAAGTTGATGCACATTATAGACAGTGGACGAGTGGCTGGCGGGTTCGGGTCACCTCCATGTTCAACCATCTCGGCAGCTCGGCACATGCCCCTTAGGGGCAGGAAGCCAGGATCGGGCTCGGGGCCTCGTCCCCTCCGTGCTAGAGCTAATCCGTGGGTCCCTTTGGATTACTGCACAGTGAAAGAGCGTTTGGCTGTTGATGTGGGCACTGCACTTTTCATTATCACTACCGGTTTGCTAGGTGAGATAGCAAGGCGTGGGGGCTGGGTCGGTCTAGAACATCCAGCCGATCGAGGCCGAGAGCCGTTTCCATCTTTCTTTGCAACTGCAGTGGTTCGGGATTTTTGTGCCTATTTCCGACTGTTTTACACACACCTGGATCAGTGCATGTATGGGGCTGTGTCACGAAAACCGACTGGTATCCTGCAACCACACGGATGCCGGTCGTTGGCTGCAGTGTGCAATCATGATGGTTCTCATGAACAGCTGCTTGGGCTTGATAAGGACGGCCGCTTCCGGACAACTCCAGCAGCGCAATACCCTAGTGGCCTATGTTTTGCACTTGCTGATAGCTTTGTTCAACGGTTGGTCAGAGCGCACATGCATCATTATCTTAAACCGTTTGCACCCAAAAGTTCAGGCAATTCCTTTCCAGACCCATGGGGTTTTGCGTGCAATGGAAGCTATAGGTGGTTTGAGCCGAGTGCAGGTTTTCTTGCTGGGGTCCTTGAGGGGCTCAACAGTACGAAAGTACGCCTTGGCCTTGGAGCACCTCAACAATGAATTGAAGAAACATGACAAGCTGTGGGCAGACATGACGGAAGAAGAACAAGACCTTTTTCTGGCAGAATGGTTGGTGGACGGATGCGAGCATGGTTCGTCAAAGACCACTTACGGCTGGGCGTTGTCTGCAGTGCAAAAGTTGTTTCCTCGGATTCGCATTCGGGTGGCATGGAAGGTTTACGATGCATGGGGACAACATGTCCCGGTGCGACAAGCGCCGGCGGCACCACCGGAGTTCCTTCATGCCATGGCTAGCATAGCAATGCTGTTGAATCGTGTGTCACTTGCCGCATTGATCGTGGTTTGCTACTCCGGCCTCCTGCGCGTCCGAGAGGCGTTGCAGCTGAGGCATGACGATGTGATGTTGGGAGGCTCGGAAATAGTGCTCTGCTTAGGGCTCACAAAACGTGGGACAGAGCAGAAGGTGGTGCTTCGCAACCCCTCCGTTGTCATGTTCCTACAACAGTACCTGGTTTACACCAAACGGTCTGGGTCGGAATTGGTTTTTTCTGTGAGCTATGCTTCAGCTTTAAGGTGGGTCCGTCGCCTGTCGTGGCTTTTGGGGGGCGATGATTTTGTGGTTACTACACACACTTTCCGTCGCTCGGGAGCTTCAGAGTTGGCAAGGCAGGGCACACCTTTAGCAGATATATTAGTTTACGGACGTTGGCAGACTGAACGGTCGGCTCGTGACTACATTCGGCAGGGCGAAGTAGCTGTTCACCGCACACGGCAGGCCATGAACCCCAGCCTGCGAAAGCGTGTGAAGAATTGGTCGTCTCTGATCACGTGCACTTGGCAATGCCATGAACGGATGCATGTTTTTGGAGAGTTGACTATCAAGGTGGACCGCATCACTGTTCCAGTGTTTCAGGCGTTTGAGCAAGCTATTTTTGTGGCATTTCACTTACCAGTCTGAAGGAAGATTGGGTGGTGGTGCAAGCGCGCTTGAGTCGGCACTGATTGAATGAAGTC